AGTTAGTCCTGGCTAACCTCAAACTGCCTCTGCCTCTAGAGTGCTGGAATTAAAGGCATACACTGCCATACTCAGTGTCATATACTTTTATCACACCAATGAGCAGGAGCCATGAGTTGACTTTGGAGCTTATTGCTGTTTATAATATAATCATCACATGATGTAATATACTATAATTGACATATAATAAATAATTAACATAGTATAATATAATCAACAATATGCATTAAAGACCAGATCCATTGGTACAATTTATCTGAGTTGGCCTGGCCTCATTAATTGTTGTTTAATTGTTTTGTTTTTTAAACTACATTTTATTTATTTTGTTTGTGTGTGCATGTATGGAGGGTGAGGGCCAATGTCATGGCATGTGTGGAACCAGAGGACAATTTACAGGAATCTGTCCTTCCACCATGTGGGCCCCAGGGGTTGAACTCAGGCTGTGAGGCTTGGTAGCAGGAGCCTTTAACCACTGAGCCATCTCACTGGCCCTCAGCTGCTTTCCAGAGGGGAGTGGTGCTGGAGAGGGTTCTACCAAGGAAGTAGCCCTCCTCTTTGGTGCCCCTCACCATCACTCTGGGCCGCTTACCCATTCAGACCCCAAGTTCAAGTTTGCCCCCTGGAGGAGGTAAATGGGCCGTTTGTTTGCTGCGGCGGCGGCTGCTTCACTGTTTTATAAGACAAGGGAGACATCTAAAATTAAGTGTGATGTCAGCATGAGGAGGGCCTGGGGACTTCAGCATCTACAGATGCAGCAGGGAGACGCCCATGAGTACAGCCCAGTGGGGAACTGTCGTCTCCTGGTCTGCTGGCTGACCGACCCCCACCTCCACTCAACAGGTGCTGGAAATGGCCCAGCAGGTAGAAGGTGCTTGACACCGAGCCTGGCGACCTGAGGTGGACCCCAGGGCGCGTGGTCAAAGGAGAGAACTCACAGGAATGAGTTCTCCTCTGACGTCCACACGTGCGCTGTGGTACATGCCCGTGAATGTGCGCACACACGAACAGACGTACAATAAATACACAGACAGACAGACGGACGGACGGATGATAAGTGGTTTAAAGGAGTGCTAGGAACTTGTTCTAAAAGGATGACAGGCACTGCTGCTGTGGCACATGCCTATCATCCCAGCGCTTGGGAGTCAGAGGCAGGAGGATCACCTGTTTGAGGTCAGCGTATGCTACAGAGGAACACCTTGTTTGAAAGGGCAAGAGATGGTAAACAAGGGATTTATTACATATGAGTTCTTATTTTGACTTCTTGGTGTTTTTAAAACTGTCCTGTTGGCTGGGCAGTATCTGGCACAGCCTGCAATCCCAGAACTAGGGAGATGGAGACAAGAGGCTGGTAGTGTAGGCTACCTGAGATCCTGTCTTCTCTAGCCCCAAAGACAGCTATGTGCTCACTGGTCTCTGAAAGGGATTTTCAGCACATCTTTGTGGTGTCACTGAGAGTGGTAGGTTCTATATTCACCTCTAAGGACATCTAATGTCTGACTGTTGGGGACTCTGTCCCGGAGGTAGCAGCAGCCTTCCTCCCTCTCCACTCTCAAGAAGATCTGGGCAAAGACTCAGAATGAAAAACCAAGCCTTCAATGCACACGAGGCTGGTTGGGAGGTGACCCAGTGTGACAAACAGCGTCGGCATGCCAGCCACTGGCTGAGATAGGAGTGCTTTC